ACCAATTTCAAACACTCTAAGGTTAGGCTCTGGCTGTAGTGCTCCCTATACAAGTTCTTCGAGAAGTTTCTGGTAAATGAAAGAAGTGTCTTGGAGGTGAATTTTTGTGATCTTAGCTTGTGTTTTTCGCTTCAAATCAGAGCATGAAGAGTTTGGAGTGAGTTCTACAAGTTTCCTTGTGTGTAGAGAGAAATCTGGTGGAGTTCTCTCTAAAAACTTTTTGGTTTCATAGTAAAATTTTTCTGGTAGTGTGGCTCTGTGGTATTTTGTCCATTCTCGTGTTGTTCCATGTTGAATTCTTGTGTGCTTTTCTGGATCGTGTTTCCATTTAGATATTGTTCTGGTTTTCTTTAATCTTGTGTGATCATGTTATTGTGTGGTATGGTTTAGTTTACAATTAATACGAAGCCTCAGTAACATTAAAAATTGTTCTCGTTATTCTTATCAAATTGATATTATAGCAGGGTTCAAGTCGAGTGGGAACAATGACCAAAGAAGAAATGCTCAAATTCAATGGAACGAACTTCACTTCTAGCGTGGTATGGTTTAGTTTACAATTAATACTAAGCCTCAATAACGTTAAGAATTGTTCTCGTTATTCTTATCAAATTGACACTATAGCAGGGTTCAAGTCGAGTGGGAATAATGACCAAAGAAGAAATGCTCAAATTCAATGGAACAGCAATATTTATATATAATGTAGATTTCTAAACATACCACTGAAATTTTTATTATTATATATATGTAATATTTAAATTTTTATATTCATTCATATGACTCTAAATCTATATATCATATCAAAAAAATAACTCATATTAATTTGTTAAAATAAAATGCACCTTTTCAAGCATAATTTTTATATGATTTTGACGCTAAAACATTGCAAAAATAAATATCATATTTAAATATTAAAAACATAAACAAAAAAAAAACAAATCTATGGTATATATCGAAATCTCCTAATTTATAAGTATAACCATTTTACCTTCAAAACAAAATGAAACAAAAAAGATAAATTTACATAACTCGCACACAATTCCTTATGTATTTTTATGTCTCACAGATAAACTTTCATATTTACATACATTAACACATTGGTATTTCAAGTCTATGCTTACAGAGATGTAATTCACTTTTAAATATTTACGTTTAGACTTAGGATATGTAAATATATAAAAATTGCGTGCTATGCATGTAAATGTCACAAAAGACTTAGTTTTCTTTTTTCTCCTCCTTAGACTCGGTCTTCTCCTCGAGGTTTTTACGTGCTCTTTTCACTATCATATCCATATAAAGATCATGAGCTTCCATGCGAACTTTCAGCCGTGCTTCTACCTGCTAATAAATATGCGTAGTAAGATTGATTCAAACATCACAATTAAACAATATTTCTCAAATTGACAAGTCTATATATATATATATTAATAAACTATTATTTTTTCATTAATTAAGTATTAAATATATTTTATCTAAACCGATTTAATTTCTATTATATATATATATATATAATGGTGGAACCAAGAGGAGTTGGGGGTGCAATCTTCTCACTTTATTATCATATAATGCACTAAAAATTTTGACCCCAATAAATTTAAATGTTAAATAATAATATAATATTATTCTATTATTAATTTGTTGATTATGTTATACTCATTTTAAATAGTTTATCATAAAGATTGTAATTATTTCATTAAACTTAATAGTGTTACAAAAATGCTTCTAAATATTTTATATATATCTTCTAAAATTTTGAAAAAAAAAAGTTTTTTTTACCACTATTCTTAGTAAAGATTATATGACAAGAAATTTGTGATATAAAATATTATACTATAATTGATGAAGGTTGGATGAAAATGAAAATGAATGATAGTTGCAATAAAATTTACTGACAGAGTTTGATTTGCTAAAAAATAATTCTTTGATATAATTCATGTTGAAGATATAAGTGCATTAAATATGAAGAATTAAAATTTGAGATGTTGTCTTTTGTCACAAAGTTAATATGCATGACATTTGATTTCAATAATATGATAGTGCAAGCAATATGTGGGATGAATGAAATATCTTGCAAGTTTTATGTTGCATATTATACTATTTATGCAACACATCATCAAAACATGTTATTCTACTATGTCAATTTGTTAGATTTATTTGAAACTTATAATTAATTGATTTATTATTTTTAGTCATAAGAAAATTGCAAGAAAATTTTAATGAGATACATTTTGTATCAATAACAAAAAAAAAATTTCATTTAAGAGAAATATGTTGATATTCTTTATTTTAAAGAGTGAAATTTCTTTGTTGAAAATGAGATATACATATTCAATTTATGAATGCTTCCTTTTTTTGGAGGTTTAGGACTTCTTGTTAAGCAAAAACATTATACTTGTAGAACAACGTCATTATAAACTTGATATTTTCAGTCATTTACATGCACAATTATAAAGAATGAAACATCATGTTTAAAAATACATTAAAAATTTATTTCTTCTTAATTATGCATTGAATTATTGAGATAGATATTGCGCGCATTGAAAATTGATGATATTTTTCAATTTATAGATAAATTTTATTATGAACATTTCATAGATGCAGGAAAGTTACAATTAATGAAGAATACCTTAATTCATGTAATATCATCTAGTGGTGTAACAGTCAAGCTCACATGTGGGATTAGCTCACTTACACCTTTAGTTGCCATCACGTGGAAGAGAGAGTGAGAGATAAAAAGAGAGTTAATGTGTAATTCTTTTACATACTAATATAATCAATGCATTTTTTGCATGTTTATGATCTCTCTCAATTTCTCTCTCTATTCACATAGAAATTGCGTGGTGTGAGAGAGAGAGAGAGAGTGAGAGATATCATAATGATTGCTACAGGAATTTAAGTTTTTTCCGACAGTTACAATCATGTCAAGATCATTTGATATTTTTCTCACATATATGTGTTTACTAAATAGTAGAAAC